GGGGAAAAACCCCGTTTTTGCCGGTTTTTCTCCCAAAAATGCTCTGAGGTGGGAGGAGAAGGTGGGATCCGGATGGGGGTGATGATGTTGACCGTGATCCGATGGGCGAGGTGGGGAGATGTTCTGGGAGGACACCGACGATGGACGTGGGGACGGGGAGTGGGGGGAGAGGGATGGAGGACGGGGAGTGGGGGGACTGGGATGGAGGTCAGGGTCCCGGTAAGGAGCTGGGGGGACGCCGAGGGGGAGCACCCAGTGTCGGCGGCGAGGTGATTAATTAGCCACGAAGGTTGAACGACTCCCGGTGGGAACCAGGCCCTCCCCAACGCTTTGAGGTCAGCCCAGGTTGGGTGGTGGGCGAGCGGCTGGGGAGGATAGAGGAGGGGCCACGGTCTGGATTGGAGAAGCTCCCTCATCCCCTAATTAGGGAGATCATTAATTAGCCACCAAAGCTGAATGGATTGAGCTGGGAAAAAGAAGCCCCCCCCCCAATGATGGGTCTTTGAGGTCGACTCCAATTGGGTGTTGGGCGAGCGGCTGGGGAGGTTGTGAAGGAGGATGGAGCCACGGAATGATGGGGACCTTCCCATCCTCTAATTAGATTATTAATTAACCATGAAGACCAAACGGCTCTGGGCAGGGACAAGTGTTCCCCCCCAACGATGGGTCTTGGAGGCCAACTCCAGTTGGGTATTGGGCGAGTGGTTGGGGAGGTTGGGAAGGAGGATGGAGCCACCAAATGACGGGGGACGTTCCCATCTAATTAGAGAGATCATTAATTACCCATGAAGGCCGAAGGGCAGGGACACGCTCACCCCTCAACGATGGGTCTTGGAGGCCAACTCCAGTTGGGTGTTGGGCGAGCGGCTGGGGAGGTCGGGAAGGAGGACAGAGCCACCAAATGATGGGGGATGTTCCCATCTAATTAGATTATTAATTAACCATCAAGCCCAGATGGCTCTGGGCAGGGACACGCTCCCCACCCCAACGATGGGTCTTGGAGGCCAACTCCAGTTGGGT